CATGAAACATTTGATGTGGTGTTCTTCGCAACAGGTTGACGTTTTTCATTTGAACATTCAGAAAAGTGACATTCACTCTTTTATCAACAATTTTAATTTAACATTGTTTTTTTTTTATATCAGGCTATAACTCCTCGTTTCCATTTTTAAGTGTAAATTCGGGTGTTTATGTTGAGAAAAAATTAGTTCAACCATTGCATAAGCATATCGTCAGCGTGGAGCATATAACAATGGTTTTTATTGGCATGGCTCCTATTCCTCCAAGTATTCCTATCATCGATTTGCAAGTAAACCATACTAAATATACTATAATGATTGTGAATGCCGTTCCAGAACGAAACTAAATGGTGTCATTGATTGATTCAGGTTCGGTTCGCACTAAAATTCTTATCTAGTGCAAAGAAATTGCCAACGAAAGCAGAAATGTTGAAAGATGTGCGAAATCAAAATGAAAGGAAACTTTCGATAGAAGATTGGAGAGAATATGTAAAACAATTATCTGAATTAGCCGGCATTGAACCTGTTTCAGACGTTCTTCTGAAAATTGTACAAGAAGATATTGCAGCAATAGCTCGTAATCCAAACGACTACCGGAAATATCGATACATAATAATTGATGACAAAAGATTTAGAAAAGAAAAATACATAACATAACGCCTGTTGTAATGCTTTCTTATTTTATTATTGTTTGAACACATGAATCTATTTAAATATCAAAATATGTACCCTATTGATTCTGCTTATGTTGTCATTTTTATTTAGCGTTACATTTTGGGATAAATTTTAAAACACAAATGCGAATTTATCGTTTTGAATTTGGTTAAAGTTTGCGTTGCTCTGTTTACATAATCGTGCAATATTGTTATCATCACAAATCTTAAAAATAAATAGGAACTTATATCCGTATAGAGTCTACATGGTCTACAAGGCAAAGCTACATATCATATAATATAATTTTTTTTTTATTTATTATAAATTCTATTAATTATTTTCGTTATTATTATTGCAAAACTTATTCAATTTATACAATTTTGCAATTTTATTTGCAAGAAAAAAATATATGAGAACCTGGCGTGACAGAGATGGCGCTTCTTAAATCGAGTCGCGTTCAAATACATTGTCAATATACAACGTAAGTGATACTCGCATGAAACTTTGTACAGGCTATTTTCTTTCAAAAAAAAAAAAATAACATTCCGAAAGTTTGAGGCAATTTTAATACAAATTGAAGGTACCTCTCATACAAAATTTTCGTTTTTGGGCAAAAAATAGAAAATTTTATATGGGTGATTGTCATTTCTTCAAATTTGGTGAAATTATGTAGTTTGGCACGAAATAAGATCCACAAGTTTTCATTGTGATTAACTGATTAAGTTACTGCAAGCATACCTGTGAATTTTATTTTTGTGTCAAATTTAAAATAATTTCAACCCAAAGTAGGGGTACTCCCCATATAAAATTTTCGATTTTTGGCACAAAAACGAAACATTCGTATGGGAGGTACTCCTAATTTTGATTGAAATTTCTTCAAACTTTCAGAATGTTATTTTTTGTCATTACCATGGCCAAAAAACCGTTGCTCTGTGCTTCCCCATATCCAAAACGCTTAGAAAAACGATTTTTAGCGATTTCAAAATTTTGGGGTGATTGCAATACCTTACTGCACACGGTGGGTTGTGCGGAGAAGTAATAGCAAACGGTAGCATAACTTCAACTACTACATCGAAAAAGTTAAAATCAAAAGATAACACAGATCGGTATGCTTTTCGTTCAAAACTGGTTGCGTAATGTTATGATAGGTTGCGATATTACGAGGTTTTATGTAATTCTTTTTTGACTTCAACAATTAGTTGATTGTGAACATCCGTTCAATTCAGATGAATCTTCTTGTCACGGTTTGTTGTTTTTTTATATTTATCAATTGGTCCTAAGAAAACTCGTGAAATGATAAATTAAATTCAGTGAATTTACATCTTTGGACCTTTCTGTGGTGTTAAATTGAAAATAAAGAATAGTTCAGCAGAGTGATTGCGTGACTCAGATGTTTTTGATCATTTTGATTAGTTTTACATTGCATTTTACATAAAGCGTTCGGACATAATTGCTCAACTATTGATTTTAATGTCAAAATTCATACAAAAACGATAAAAAAAAGAAAATAATTTAATAATTTCAACCGACACAATTTGCAGATTTATGTTGGGCTTTTGCTTGGATTGGCCGTAAATCAAATAGATACAGCTACTGTTTTTAGCAATGCCAAACGACCTGCTTTGAACATTGCTGTCGTTGGAGCGGGAGCTGCAGGTCTTTGTAGTGCCAAACACTGCCTTGCCGAAGGTCATGAAGTAACCGTCTACGAACAAAGTGAAGAGATCGGCGGAGTTTGGTATTATACGGATGAAATAGGCAAAGATAAATATGGCGTTCCGATTCACACATCGATGTACCAAGGGCTAAGGTAATTAAATACAAAATAAGAAATATAAGAAATTAAAGCTCTATAATAATCTAACTTTCTCATTAGAACAAATGTACCCTACCAAGTAATGAGTTTTCCACAATTTCCTTTTCCAACGAATACAACATCATATCCACCACAAGCAGACGTACTGAAATATCTCCATTCATATGCAAACCATTTCGAATTGAAAAAAGTAATCAAATTGCGAGTCATTTGGTCGTTCGTGTGCTTCCGATTAAAAATGATAAATGGGAAGTCCTTGTGAAAAATTTACCGAAAAATACATTCGAAACGATAATCTATGATGTCGTTTTTGTTTGTAATGGCCATAATTCGAAGCCGTTTATTCCAAATATTGATAGTGCCGACGAATTCAAGGGAAAACTAATTCACAGCCATGATTATCGCAAACCGGAACCATTTCGCAGTAAGATTTTAAAATATGGTTTTCAAAAATCATTTTCCTTTTTGGGGCCAAATGATATTCACACTTGTTCGCCTCAAAATTATAGATACAAGTGTTCTTGTCATTGGTCCAGGACCAAGTGGAAAGGATTTGGTGGCCCAATTGGCAAAATTCACTAAGCGGGTGGCATTCAGCCGGCATAAAATTGTCAATGAAACCGATGAAGATCGTAAGAAACGTCAAAGTCTATACTCACCCAATGTGATACTTAAAGATGATGTGACACGTTTCACTTCGACTGGCGCCGAATTTATCGATGGATCCCACGAAACATTTGATGTTGTGTTCTTCGCAACAGGTTGACATTTTTCTTTTGAACATTCAAAAAAACCACCTTGATTCACAATTTTAATTCAACACAATTTTTCATTCCAGGCTATAACTCCTCGTATCCATTCTTAAGTGTTAATTCGGGTGTTTATGTTAAGAAAAAATTAGTTCAACCATTATATAAGCATATCTTCAATGTGGAACATCCAACAATGGCTTTTATAGGCATATCACCTTTTGCTCCGACGATTCCAATGTTTGATTTACAGGTAAGCGGCACAAACATACCTTTGAGAACAAATCTTCACCGTGTCATTGATTGATTTAGGTTCGGTTCGTACTAAAATTCTTATCGGGTGCGAAGAAATTGCCAACAAAAGCCGAAATGTTAAAAGATGTGCAGATGCAACCGACAAGACGGCGTCCATATAATTTGTTACCTGATCGAATCGAATATATAAAACAAATATCGGAATTGGCTGACATTGAACCTGTTCCAGATGTATTTGTGAGCGCGACTAAAGATTCTATCGTAGCTGGAATTCGTGAACCAAACGACTTCCGCAAATATAGATATATGTTAATCAATGATAAATCATTTAAAAAAGAAAAGTATATTTTATGAAATTGCCATTACATTGCAATAGAATAATTAAAGCTTGAAACAATAAAGGAACTTATTTACATTGAAAAACACATTATTACTTCTACTCTTGCTATTTTTAGCGTGGCTCGTTGGTAGAAATAAAAATCGTGAGTGGTTGTTTCTTTATTATTATTTTGTGGT